TTCATTATTTTTGCATTGAAAACACTGTGCAGGATATTATTAAAAATGTTTTGTGTTACATGTTCCACAATCATGAAGGCCTGGACCAACACGAGGGACCCTTTAATCCTTTAAGACCAGGTATATGCAGCAAAAAATCTCAACTGACCACCTGTGATTGAATCAGCGAGGCGGATGTTAATTGCAGGTATAAACAGGGTCATACACACAAAAAAGTACTGAGCAAGAGAGGAAGAAAAAAAGAGTTAGCAAGGAATAGAGGGAGTAAAGAGAGGTAGTAAGGAATGGCACAAGTGAAAGGACGAGAAAAGAGAGGTAGTGAGGTATGGAGAGGTGGGTATTGAGGGATGGACGTGTAAAGAGCTGGACATTGAGCAGAAGGCAGAAAATCAATGGTGAATAGCGGCTAAAGCGGAATCTGAACTCTGCCTGAAGTCATAGACTGTGACGGAGGAACGAGCAGAGAGTAAGGAAGCGAGAGAAGGATGGGATGAAGGTAGAAAAAGGCAATATGAGCGCAGAAACGGAAAACAAATCCACAGCAGGCAGAGTAGCCACAAGCTAATTAAAATCAGAGGAGCAGGGGAAATCAATCGATTCAGGAGAAAAATCGAGGCTGTAATCAAGAGATTAGCTCAGGAGCCATCAGTTTCACAACAACTTGCTAATGATCACTAAAGCAGAGGCATGAAACTGAAGAATTAAAAATATATGGAAATACATTTAAAGATCCAACCCTCAGCAGCTGGGCAACAGCTAACAATGTAATATTTCAAAGTCTCCATTTTAGATATTGGGAATATGTCTGCATGTACAGTGTGTATGCATGTATTAAAGCAAATTTTTTTATATTTTGACTTTCTCCTATAAAACACAGAAGATAATTTTAAGATGTTTGTACTACTTTTGTCCATTCAATGCAAGTTAATGTTCAAACTAACATTGAACCAACATTGTATGGACCAAAAATCCAGATCCATTTTTTTAAATACTTTTTTTTGCAGCCACAGAAGAGTGTGACGTGTACGTCCTACGTCATCCGCCAGGAACGGCTTGCACGTATGATAGTCAGCAGAAGTGAGAAAAAAGTATTTATAACATTTTAAAAATTGATAATTTTCTTACAAAAATGCATTGATTCGCTACAGGAGGCCTTTATTCACCCCCCAGAACCGTGTGAGGAACGTTTTATTATGGATGCGTGCGCTTTATTTGACTACTTTTGGATTGTTGAACAAAAACACCCGCCTACTCCCATTCTAAAGCTTGGAAGAGCAAGGATAATTTTAATATAACTCCGATTGGATTCATCTGAAAGAAGAAAGTCATATACACTCAGGATGCTTTGAGGGTGAGTAAAGCACGGGCTAATTTTCATTTTTGGGTGAACTAACCCTTTAACAGGACATTAATTGATAGACTGGAGTCATGTAGATTGCTTGTGGATTATTGTGATGTTTTATAGGGGTGTAACGATCAATCGATATGGATCGATACATCGATTAAATGTCTAACGATACGATGTATCGATGCCACACGTAAAATATCGATATCTGTAGTATAAATAGGCACTTTATTTTGGCACTGTCCACATTTTCACCAATGTCCGTCTATGCATTACCGCCAATGCGTGCATTCTCGTTCAAACTCACGTGTCGGGACGATAAGACTGCCTGAAGGGCGAGCGTAAAAGACGCTTGGGATAGTTGACGGAACTTTCGAGCGCTTGTGAGAAGTTTTCAGCACGCAGTGACGCGCACACATCCAAAGCTCACGCATACAGACAGCCGCATCGACAGCACGCTAATACCTAATTGAGCTCCCTTCCGCTTTTTGTGTATGGATGAACAAATACAGACCAAATTACATCAGCATGTGCGCCTTGGCGAATATCCTAGTAAACACAGTCGGTTAGGCCTATGTCTTAATGTAAACAGTTGAGAAAGAATATGCATGTGTACGTATCAGTATATTGGATCCGTGCTTTCCTTCTTAAAGTGAAAGCAGACTTACAGAAAACTTCTGTCAAAGAAAAAAATCTTTCACTGATTTTGACTGAACAACTTTTATAAGGATTAATCTATATTTAATCTATACAGTGAAGACTATGCAGTGTTATTTTACACTGGATTATTACATTTCTGTACCTGAAAACTTCTTTTAGATCTACCTGAAAAACACTGTTTATTAAATTTGTGTCTTTGTTATACTGTATTTATTTTCTGCTATTGCTTGTAATTTGGTTATCTGTAGAAAAGGTTTTTAGCACTGAGCCCATAGTAGCAGCCAAAAAAGTCTCAAATAAAGTTAACAGCTTTATTTTTGAATTGTTTTATTTATTTTTCTATATTAATGTAGTTTTTTTCCTACAACTGGAGTATCTCGTTTGTGTTTCCTAATGAGGATTTACATTATTTTACACATTGCATATTTTAGCACAGAAACCTAAAGGACTGTCTTGACTGTTGTCATATCTTAAGATTACTGATCTTGTGTGTGACTTACATTTTTTTTTTTTTTCAATTATTTATTTTTCTTTATTATTTAAAAAAAAAAGTTTAGGCCTATTTTTTGTTGTGAATGTCCCAATTGAGGAACAGAATGTGAAAATTTAAGATAAATGTTCATGTTATATGTTTTGGTTGCATTTGTGAGTTAATAAAAATGTAGATGGTTAGGTATATAATATAATAATATGGATATATCGACCGATATTCTCCTGTATGAAATCGTATCGAAAATGTATCGTAGAATTTTTTGAAGTATCGGCAAATATCGTATCGCTGGGTATAAGAATCGATATCGTATCGTATCGTGACGAACCATCCGACTTACACCCCTAATGTTTTATCAGCTTTTTGGACTCTCATTCTGAGGGCACCCATTCACTGCAGAGGATGCACTGTTGAGCAAATTATGTAATGCTACATTTCACCAAGTTGGTTTCTGATGAAGAAACAAACTCATCTACATCTTGGATTGCCTGAGGATGAGTACATTTTCAGGAAATTTTCAACTATTCCCATTTACAGAGAAATTGTGCAGAAAATAAGACGCTTTATGATGGTACTGAAATATTATCTTCTCAAAGGTCAAAAAATGTACATGATCATCAGATTTAATAACAGTTTAGGTGATACTATTACTAAAAGTTGAAAGGTTATCACTTTTAATACTAAGCAATAAGCTGGCAACTCATTCATAACTAGCAGTATATTTCACAGTGCAGAGAGATGACCTTCTAAGAGGCTAATTAATAAATAATTACTATTTGCTTTATTATGGCCATATTAATGACACAGCTAACAAAAGCTTGGCCAATATGGGGCACTGATTAAAGAGCAGATGAATAATTGAGACGTTAGCGAACATAATTAAATATTCACAAGTCTGAGCCAAAGCCAAGAGTGTGACTTTCAGGTCTTATTTATATATTTTGTGCTCATGAGCTAATTTTTACTCTCAAATTTCCTTTTAAAAAATGTATAAAGCAGCACAAATAAAGATTCTTCTTCACAGATTTAAACAGTAGACAAACTCCAAAGACCTTATGAAGTCTTTCAAGATTATGCAGATGCAGAGATACTCTTAAAGGACTCTCAAATTAAAGAGAATAGGTTCATTATTTATTGTATAATTATATTTTTTACTTCCAAATTTTGATTAAAACATAAAAAAATCCCAAACCCACTATATTAAAGACCAAGCCCTCTCATTATCACAGATTACAAATACACAGATGATTAAATAAACAGATAAATAAATAAATGACAAAGAAATAAGTGCAAGAATTAAACAGATATACATAAAAGACTAAAGAAATGTAATAAATTATGAAAATAACACATTTATTAAGGAGTAAATGTATACAAAAATATATTAAATAAATATTAAATATATAAATATTAAATATATAAATATTAAATAAATATATATATATATATATATATACACACACATATATAAATAAATTAGACCGAATAGAATAGAATAGAATAGAATAGAATAGAATAGGTAAGTGCTAGTACTAATTGGTCAGGTGCTGGCGAAAACAATTTTTTTTGTAATTGTGTGTGTGTATGTGTGTGTTTTTAGACATTATGATAATTTTATTGTTATTTTAAATTGGCTTTTATCTTTATATTTTTAGTAGATTTCTTTTTTTATATGTGTAAGTATTTTTTATGATGTTTTATTTCAGATTTAATTTTAGTTAACTAATAATACTGGTTTGGGTCAGTGTTAATTTAGTATTATTTATATACTATTATATTTGAATTAGCTTAGGTAATGTAATCTAGAATAGCCAATAAAATTCATGTTTCATTTATAAAGAATCATTGTTTGGTGTCATATAATTTTAAGGTTAAAACCTTTGCCAAAGATTACGTTACCTCTCTAAGAGCTTACAAATTATCATAATTGTGTTGACCGTGGCCAGGAAAATACATATAGTCAAATTGGTAATACACACTGACATTAACTTCTCGCTGGCCGAGAAACTGATAGAGTGTAAACTATCAAATTTGAAATCAGTTTAATCAGGTGGACCTCGAATTTTCAGATCCGAGTCCTTTTAAAACCTGAATGAATTAATAATAATTAATTCCCTAAAATTAAGTAATCAAAGTCATAATTATTATGATTCAAATATTTCAAATGTTTCCTTATCCATTTGTATATCCGTAACTGTAACTTTTACTTTATTAGTGAAGTTAAAACAAAGACAGTGCTGCGTGCTGAGACAGGGTCAGAGTTTGTATTACGTCTCGTCTGGCTCGTCTTTTAATTTGAAGGTTTATGTGCATGTCTGAGACCTTGAAAAGCCTCTAGGATCGATAAGAGTACTGAGATAGATGTCTCCTGCTTTCCTATTGGCTGGCCATAACTACCTATCAATAGCGCATTCTGCAATAACATTAAGCAATGAAAGTCTATGTTTTAGAGTCTCAAGAAATGACATCCAGTATGGATTTACAGGTATATGTGAGCCAACAGACCTTTTTGGCCTTGCTAAGGTACGTCCAAGCTGATTTTCTGAAGTTCACACCGTTGTTTGTCAAGTCTTGTTTGTCCAGCTGCAAATAAAACAGCCATCCCAACAGATACCACACCTGAAACAGGAAGAGGAGAAAATACACAAACAAGCATATAAAATAAAAAAATAGATATATAATTTAAAAATGACTTTTGTATAAATACATATGTGTGTGTGTGTGTGTGTGTGTGTGTGTGTGTGTGTGTG